CATCAGAATGAACAAGATCAAATGGTGCAACAGAGTGTGAAAAACTTCAAGAAAAGGGTAAAGCTGAAAATTTAACTAATTTGCAACTACAACAATCAGAATTGTCATGAGTTTGCAAATCTCCCAATTTACCCTTAGAAACTAAAAGTTTCAAAGGACTAGTGGAAACATGCCCATGACAAGAATGTCACAAATAAAAACTAGAAGATGATGAATTCAAAGAGAAAGATGATAAATTAAAATCGAAGGCTGCAACATGTGGTGTCTCAAATTATTCAAAACATATAACTCTCAACTTCTGAAATCAAAGAAAACTGAACTAAGTATCCAGAATCACACAATTGCCAATATAATTAAGATTCAAAGTAAGAGTTGGAATACAATAAACATCTAAATATGATAAATTATGTGTTAATAGAACCAATACCCCCTAAAGGCAATGGTGTGCTATCAGCAGTCATAATAGGTATAGATGAGTGAGAATGATGCAAGCCATTAAAGAATTTTAAGTTACATGACATGAGTTTGGAAGGACCTGAGTCAAAGATCCATGAGAAGGACTTTGAAATGACAAACCTATATGAGTAGAAGATGACTAGCATGTGGTAGCATGGCTAAGAACTTTTGAAACTATTCTGCTAAATCAGTCAACATAGGACTGGAGGAAGGTAATGCTTCAAGTATAGATTAGTTACCAAGTGGCATGGTGGCAGTCGTGTTAGCAGTGGGACAACAGGATCACATCCGTGGTTGTGGGTGTTGCTTCTTCAATAACTTAGGACATTGAAACTTCCAATGTCCATTTTGTTTGTAAAAGTTACACTCATAACTAGCAGCTCGCACATAACGTTTGTTCTAATTTTGTGTGGACGATCGAGAGGGCACAACCAACACTAAGGTACTAGTGATTTCAAACGTGTTTCCCCAGTTACAAGTTCAACAACCATCGAATCAACTGAGAAAAGTGGAGTGCAATATAAGATAGAGCTTTAAGATCCTCAAAATCACTGGAAAGTTCCATTAAAACTGAACTAATCACTGCTCTTCTCTCAAAAAGTAATATATGTTTTTAGTCTCGCTGAGTCTGTATGAGCCAACTCGTCCCAAATTGAATTCGTAGTAGTGCAAAACTTGAGAATACCCATATTCTTCTATTGTAAAGCTCGTATATCAATCTCTAACTGATATCGCTGTGTAAAGTTAGACTTAGTCTATAACTCCTGAAAGTAATCCCAACTTCCTTTGCTGTTTCAAACTTCATCAACTGTGTACTAATGTATTGCTCAACAGAATTATGTATCCAAGGAAGAATTTTCGTGTTGTTGACTCCCAATTATCCAACTCCATCACATAATTCTCAACAGTGTTCTTAGGTATCAGTACAGTTCTACTAACATGGTCCTACAATCTTTTTCCTTTAGAAAATTCTTCATCACTGTACTCCAATATGAGTAATTTTTACCGTTTAATCTGACACTAATGTATTGAAGCGAATTATCTCTTTCAGTTGCCATCATAAAATCAACAAATGATCCACTATGAATCAATTATATCACTCAGTTCTAAAGAAAACTAACAACAACAAATGTAACACCACAAACTATAATCGAAATATATTGCATAGTATATGTATAAACAAAGTAATACCACCAAGAGATAAAAAATTTCCAAGGAACAAACTACCTTTTTGAATCACCTCGAAAACGTCACTGTGTGCGAGTCATATGCACCGTCGCCATGCACCACAATTCAATACCATGCACTGGCTGAAAGATGCGTCCCAACCTGCTGAACAATAATTTGATCTCAATTTTCTCAATCGATCTCTGGTTCGATCGGAATCGTGATTTTTAGTTGCAATTCATTAGATTTTTACAAAAATTCTTCCTACTTGATTTCTACTTGGTTTTCCAGCGTATTACAATCAGAAAAATATCACAAGTTTTTACTCAACTATTGGCTCTGATACCATGTTAACAATACGAACTACCTTGTACCAATATAGTAGGGTTAGACATGGTTCAGTTCGGTTCGGTTGAATTTGAACGAGAACCAAATCGAATCCAAAATTTTCGGGCATTTAGTAAATGGAATCGTCAGATCCAAATTTAATTATGGAATCGTTCGAGTTCGGTTCCATTCAATTCAGTTCGATTTGGTTCGATTCACAGGTTTCGTATTATAATTAATTTTTTTAATATTTACAAAGTTACATTAATTCAACTAATAATATATTTAATCTTAGCTCATACAAAATAATGTAGTTCAATCGTACGTGTCTTTTGCATCTCTCTTTGCTAAATTATTCATAGATTTTATTGTTAAAATCACAGGAAGAGAAAGATAGTGAGCACAAAATAATTAAAAGGGGTGTTGTTGAGCTTCAATTCAATTTCTCCAGAAAGGTAAAAACGATACTATGGTAGAGTAACAAATTTGAATAAAATTTAGGTCAATTTGATTAAATTGGCTTTGAATTGAAAATTAGAGTAGGAAAATCATTTTTTTTTTGTTTGAACTAAATTAACTAGTTAACAAATTTATTTTAAAAAAAATTGACTTATTTAAAATAAATTAATTACAAAAATTAGGAAGATTCGATTCTTGATCTAGAACCGAGAATCGAACCGAACCCGTCGGTTCTCGATTCAAATACCCGTTCGGGTATTTAACTTAAAAAGAACCGCTCGGCCTGATTCGATTCGGTTTGGTTCGAGAGTTTTGTCCGTCCCTACAATATAGTAAATCAATTCAAAGAGAAGATGAAAGAAAGAAAGAAAAACCAATTATCCATTGAGCCGCCACAATTAGGTTTCTAATGAAATACATAAGTTTATATATTACAATAAAAGTAAACAAAAAGGAAACTAAATATTATGCAATAATATTATATATGACTAATAGGAACGAGAGTTGTTGCTTGTTTAACAGAGCACTATATTTTCTTAAGTGGACAAGTGGGTAATGATGAGAAGTCGATGTTTATCCACCACTTCCACTCTGCACAAGTTGTATTGAAATTTATTCTTTCCTAGTAAATGTGTCTATAAGGTTGTTGTGTTATTCTCTTGAATTATTGAATAGGTGTTGAGGATTAGATGTTTTCGAAGTGTATGTCCTCTAAATATAGAGGTCGAAAATCATAATGGATGCACGAATAATTTGAAATCACAACATAAAATATTATGAAAATTCTCGTTTCTTGCTTTCAAGGCTTACCATTGAGATACTACATATATTAAGACAAGAAAGTTGTTGCATAGATGACCTTTTAAACTTGTGAAAAATTCAAGATAAGAATCTTGTTCTTCATTAAACTCGCAAGTAATATATTAATGAGTGGAGTATCATCCTACACAGTTTGTGTAAAAAAAATTTATTTTTAATTTTGACCTAAGCCATTTGTGAGCTTGAATTTGTTTTAACTAAAACAACTAAAATTACCTAAAGAGGTAATGATTTTTTACTATTTTGAAGAAAATTCAATTTTGTATTGGTTCTAACTACTCCATTTAAGAGCATCCACATTGGATGTGTTACTGATACATCAATATGTTAAGCCAGAAAGAGTTTAATCATTTGGTTGACATAGGTGTGAGTGGGACTCATTTGAATAAAAAAAAGCCAAAAAATGCTCCCCACCCCATTTGTGAGTGCACTGTCAACACTCCTCGGCAACACAGCAAGATTCTGTTAAGTTTGGAGTGTGTTTGGCCATCACATTTTACTACTCAAACCTTCCAGTCCACAACTTAACGGATATAGATAATGTTTCCTTCCTGATAAGTTCAACGAATCTATTCTATATCCAACTTAATTCTTTTTTTAGAAAGTATGGCTTCATCATCACAGTCTATTCCTATGATTGAGTATAGTTCTACATTTTTGACTTCATCAAGCTTATCCGATGAAGATCAACATGCAATTTCCATCGCCATCAGAAGAGAGTTCAAACGGTTATGAATTTGTTGCAACGTGTGCTTACTGTTCTCCTTTCACAGCCAAATGAGCGGTGTAATTTTGCAAGTTAACAGAGAGAAAAGTCACCAACAAATATGGAAAGATTATTTCGATGATAATTGTACTTATTAAGATGATTATTTTCGTAGACATCGGATGCAAAAAAAAAAAATATTGTAAAGGTCATTTTTGTGGTGCTTTTAGATACAAAAGATGACTGTTGCAATACGAATAGTCGCTTATGGAGCATCGCCAGATCAATGAGACGAGTATGAAAAACTAGAGAGAGCATTTCCTCGAGTGTATGAAGGGGTCTTTTTTTTTTTTAGACTATAATTATGTTATATGAGGAGCAATATATGCGCTCATCTTACATGTGACACTGACAGTTGAATTAATACGTCCATTGCAGATGCTCTAATATATTTCAGGCCGAGATTATTATTTTCTACATAAAAGAGAGAGTATTCAAGAAAATGACTATAGTATCAGTCAGTATAATTTCATTCTCATCAAATCCAATTAAGATATTGCAGCTATGAAACTTGTACATTTCATGCTTCAAGCAGTGTTAGATCTTCCTGTACTGCAAAAGCAAACAGGACATAAAAAACTCGCATGCTGTAAACTGTAAACTATTGATAAGTCAAGTACTTGACGTTCGAAATACTAATCGATTACAATAAATTGGATCAAACTTTGCTGTTCTTCTTGGTCTTTTTTCCCCCGCAGTACTTCAATGACACAAGCGTAAAAGGGATTCAAGAATTGGTTTTCTTTTATGATAAGGCGAGTGATATAAGTGAATAGCTCACCAATACAACCTTGAACTTGACACATGCATTACTTTATAATCAACAAGACTAGGACATTAAAACACATCATGTGCAATAACTAGGTATGAACTCAGTCAGTATAATTTCATTCTCATCAAATCCAATTAAGATATTGCAGCTATGAAACTTGTACATTTCATGCTTCAAGCAGTGTTAGATCTTCCTGTACTGCAAAAGCAAACAGGACATAAAAAACTCGCATGCTGTAAACTGTAAACTATTGATAAGTCAAGTACTTGACGTTCGAAATACTAATCGATTACAATAAATTGGATCAAACTTTGCTGTTCTTCTTGGTCTTTTTTCCCCCGCAGTACTTCAATGACACAAGCGTAAAAGGGATTCAAGAATTGGTTTTCTTTTATGATAAGGCGAGTGTGATATAAGTGAATAGCTCACCAATACAACCTTGAACTTGACACATGCATTACTTTATAATGCATTACTTTATAATCAACAAGACTAGGACATTAAAACACATCATGTGCAATAACTAGGTATGAAAGATTCTTATGTTGATTGCTTATAAGTCTTCACCAGCTGCTCAATGTCTTGAATCAGCAGCGTTGTGTTGAGATAGGACGATCCATCTTCTTCGACTGATTTCTTTGCCATTTCTTTTAGCACTTTTACTTTTTCCCTTCTCTCATATCCTTTTATTCCCTTATCCATTACCATGTCAATGGCAGCCTTAACCTCGCCTTTCGTCACCTTCATTCCGGGCCTTTCTTGGGTGATCGAGTCTACAACAGCTTCAGCTCCAACTCTTACACCTGCGCCCAAAATCTGGACTACTAATTTTTCATTAAGAAATTGCTCAGCAAACAAAGGCCATGTGATCATTGGCACGCCAGCACATATACCTTCTAGAGTTGAATTCCAACCGCAGTGCGTTAAGAATGCTCCTATTGAAGAGTGGGATAAAATCAGTACTTGCGGCGCCCAACCTCGGATTAAAAGGCCTCTTTCCTTTATTCTTTCCTCATATCCATCATCCAAAATCCACTTCTCTATTTCTTGTGTTTTTTCTCCTCCTCTTATCACTAGAATAAACGGGTAGTTTGATGCTTCCAGGCCTAAAGCCAGCTCTATGAATTGTGAAGGCACTAGACGACCAAGGCTTCCAAGACACGCGTAGATTACAGAATTAGGCTCGTGTGAATCAAGCCACTTCAAGCACTGATTCGTATCAATGGAGGCCTCATTCCCTCTCTGAGCTTTGTCTAAATTCTCCTTGCTAAAAAGTGATAGTGGACCAATGCACCAAACCTTTCCCCCTCTGATCTTCCGAAATTCATCAACATACCTTTGTTCCAAATCTTCAAAACTATTGACCACCACCCCATGAGATTGAGTTTCAGTCGCTCGAATCTCTCTACGAATATCATCCACATCCGCCGAGCCTGGATTAAACAATCCAGGCAGCTGGAGCTTAGTAAACTCAACTTTATCTGGTAAATTAGGCACAACGAAAGGCTCCGTCTCGGGCACACTTTCATGAACCTTGGAATTGTGCAAATTATGCGTAATCAGTTGTGTGAAGCAACTCATTCCATCAAAAACAATCCTCGGAACCTGAAGAGAATTTGATAAATCAACTGTCCATGTCAGATGCTTATCGCATATAATGCAACTTGGAGCTGGCTCAAGTCCTTGCAGTGTCTGTTCCAATGGCTTGTGTAGCATTTTTGATGCAATAAAGAAGTTCCTCATTAACTTAAAGGACGGTAAAGCGTCTGCATTTTCACATCCTACGGGCAAACCGGCTTCCTCACATGGAAACTGGAGCTGAAGAAGCTGGATGGGGAGTCCAGACGAGATAGCACGATCAATCACCGAAGTGAACCGGATGGCATTGAGGGGAGTCGTGACTATAGTCACAAGAATACCACGTTCTGCAAAAAGTTTTGCCATGTCTACCATTGGAATCAAGTGCCCAGGGGCCAATAGAGGTATCAAAACAATGTTTAGCATCTCCGGTTGCAAAGCCATTGAATTAAATTCTCAGAGCCTATGATTATATGATGCCAAATACACAAGGTATACAAAACTTTTTTATTGAATACTCAAACAATAGAATATACTTATATATACTCGTGTATATCTTTTTTTTCCCCCCTTAACCCAATCCTAGTGATGTAAGAGCTTACAGAAGCATGGACAGTGTTCTTGCCTTTTTGGTATAACAGTGCACAGACACAACCGTAACCATGGCCAGAACTAAGGAGAACCAAAAAAAAAATGTTGTACTGTACCTAAGAAGAAAAGGACGGGTTGGGAACGGACTTGGGCATTACGGCATGTTTGACACGTAGTATTAGAAACAAGTAGACAGCATTAAAATTATAAATAGAATAAAAAAGCTGAAAATATGAATAGGGATCAATCAAAAACCGTATCCATTATCTTTTAATAATGAAATATAATGCTACAAGTTCTGGTCTTACACGCTGCTTTTGGCTGGCGAAGAAGATCTATCTGACAAATTATTTCAAAAGATGACAAAAAAAAAAAAAAGAAGAATGCCCTATTGAATAGGTCACTGGTGACGTCATCTAATTCCTGCCAATAAACTTTCACTTGGGAAATGAGCATCAGATATTATTCCTGCCATTGAGTGGATGGTATTTCTTGGGAGAAATTTGAAGTTATTTATCTATAAAACTTCTTGTTTCGAATGCTAGTCCTTGTTTATGTAATTTTTCACATGCATCTTCACAGATGCAACAGTCACAATTGACTGTCATAATCCATTAAAAAGCAGTATATTCCATGAAGAAACCAAACTTGGCTGTTTTCACTACTGAATTCCTTTATCGAGACTAAAGGCATAAATTTTGGGATTTGAGTGAAAAATAATATTTATTTGGTTGTTATTTTTGAAAAACTAATAAATACCGAAAAATTAAAGAAAATTGGATAATGGATTACTTTCCCCTTTTTTTTTTTTTCCAGATCCAATAAATAGAGACAACACCAAGTCTAAATGTCTAATTATCTCTTGAAATTCCAGTCTTTACGATTGTTCTTTGGCGACCCAATATCCATGTATAGACGTCCTAATTGGGCCAGTAGAATGGACCCAAGAAGCCCATCTTTACATCTTTCCACGGGCTAATTTTGAACATAAATAAGGTTCAAGAAAAGGGAAATTATAAGATTTCAGGCATTTAAATATCAGAACGCAAAAATCGTGTAGAAAAGTTTTTTATTCAAAATTCAGGTATTGTTTTAATTATTAATATTAATATAAAATAATTCAACCCTATTTCATCCCAATTTTATTCTAATCCCTAGAATTTAGATCCGTTTCTCTCCTTTCTCCCCACTCAACCCACATCTTCGGTGCCCTCGCCACTACTGGAGACCATTGCCGAAATCACGGTGACAATTGTTCACTAGCTTACTGAGGCGGAAACGGCAGCAATTATGCCTTGCAGTGAAAATGAAATTCCTCCCCCGCACAGCATTGAGCACCGTCCATAGTCGAGAGCAGGAGTGACGATGCCAGCACAGAAACCACTGCTTGTAGCGCAAGAAACAATGTTGCACGGAGCAGATACTACCAGGATTTATGAGATTGTGGACCGGTTTCGGGCTCTGGGATCGTTGATGAGGACGGCGATGTGGATGTTGTTGCTGACCATGGTGGGTGACTTGTTGTTTTTGAGTCCCTTTTGGTGGTATTTTTGTTGTTGTTGGCGGTGTTGTGGCGTGGCGAATTTGTGGGTGGCGAGGTTGTGTGGTGATGTAGTGCAGGCGACGATTTTCTGGTAGTGGATGTGCGTGGTTGGCGGCGCCTGTATGTGATCTGTGAAGAAACCGTGCATCCTAACTCTTTCCTTCTGTCTATCGTCACTGTGAGAAAAAAATGTGTGGTTTGGTGAGAACGACACTGCAACAGGGGTGACTTGGTGGTGGTGGTGGTGTTGTTAGTGGTTTGGAGTGGTGGTGGTTTTCATAGTGGTAGTGGTGATGTTGGCGATAGTTCTGATGGTGTTGTGGTGGAGGACAGTGTTTGTGACCAAGTATTATGGTGGATTGAGATAGGATGTTTGGTATCCGTGACCAACTGTGTTGGTCCCTCTGTGATTGATTATTAGTTTGTGACCTTGAAATTTGATCATTTTGTGATTAAAAATGTAATCTGTGACCATCAAATTTGAAAATATATGACATGTAACCTATAATTATTTGAATTTGTGACCATTTATGATCTATAATTTTTTGATCTGTGATCTCGAAATAGCTTGTGACCCATCAAAATTTTGATTTGTGACCTCGAAAAAATTTACGACCAATTAATTTGATAATATGTGACCGATAAATAAATTGATGACCTATAATTGTGAATCTGTGACCATTAATCGTATACCTGTAACTTTATTATCATACATTTAATAAATATTTTTAATTACTTAGTTAAAACCTGATTTTTGCATTAATGAAACTTGTAACTTAAATTTTGAATTATGCATAGATAAAACCTGATTTGTGAACTCGTCCCGAAAGAAAATTTGATTAGTGCTTGATTGGAACTGAAACTTGAAATTTACATGAACGTTGCAAAAATTCTAGAAAATACCGGAAAGAAAGCAAAGAATTCGAAAAAATAGGTAACATTGAAACTATGGGGTAATTATGATGAAATATTACTTATTGTTTATATAATGCTCATTCTATTATGAATAATGGTAGTTATATTGTCATCACAATTTATTTTATTTATAGTAATTTTTAATTGAATTAAAATTTTTATCTTCGCTTATTGTTGTAATTATGGTGTCAATTTTTTATTATCGCATTCTTATTATCTTAATTATGATGATTTTTACCTCTCGTATTTTTTTAATTAGTAATAAAAAGGATAATACAATATTTCCCCTCATTTCAAAGCACGATAGCAAAATATTTGAATAGAATTTTTCGTTAAAGACTAAAGCCCCATTTGGTAGCAATTTTTCACTCCAAAAAATTAATTTGACTATTATTTCACTATTTCAGTTGTCATTTTTGACTTCTTCACTTGCAAGTGGGACACACTTTTCTCTCTAACGGTCAATAAATTATTTCTCATAATCACTACCGAACAGGCCCTAAATGTGATATTTAATGGAAGATTGAAGATAAGAACTCGACAAAAAGGTGAGGATATAAATGTACTAGTAAGTGATTAAGAGTTTTTAGTGCAACTATAATCCCCAAAATTACAAAACATTTAAATTCCAACCACGATACAGTGCCATATTCTTTGACATAAAATTCGACATGATACCACGTGACATTATATCATTAAACTTTTTTAAATACATTCAGTTTTCCTATCAAATCATCTTTTTCCATTTCAAATTATATCAAAGCATCTATTAAAATTTTCTGGTAAAGTGGCAAAACCCTTAACATTCAAAAAAGGAAGACATTCAAAAACAACAACGATTCAAGGGTAGTCAGATTATGCAAATTCCACACATATCATTGAAATTGAAGATTTTGAAACTTGCATGAAGAACTGGAATCATCGTATAAAGGAAATCTAATCAAAGTAGTAACATCTTAAGGTAACATCAGTAAATTTTTAAATTGGTCTTAGCAAGTGCTTGTTTTGATGTAAAAATACATTTTAAGGTAACATGAGTAGATTTTTGAAGGATATTTCATTTGTTGCCCTAATTGGAGTCAAGCACAGGAGCATTGCTGTGGAGGTGGTTGACTCTGTACTTGAGATTGTTGGTAGGTTTGGGAGTGGAACTCTCTTTACTAAGAACGAAGTTGTTGTTCCGGGTCGTTACTGTAAGTGTTATGCCCTACGTCCAATCGATTTATGTTGTAAATACTTTTAATATGTTTAATGCATTTAATTTTGGCAAGATCTATTATTTGTTTAAATTAATGTTGTGATAAATAATATTAAATAATAGAGTCCCAAGATCCAAATTTAAGTGATTTGTTAATCATAAGGAGTTGTGATTGTGAGATACAAATTACGTATGATTGGATCTTGAATAAACCGTGGTCGTAAATAATAACGAGATACAGATATCGTTAATACAGATAGACCATCACGTGTGGCATTTCTTACTTGTGAAGTAAGTAGCTGATCTCACGAGCTAAAGTGTGATGACACTTAAATGAACACGTGGATGTTTTGTTATAGAACAAAACATTGGAGACCCGCTAAGAGATTCCACATGGATAGTTATCTGAGTGTCAGTGGTTAATCTCTAACGTTCGATAGTGGAATTGGTCTTATGACTTGAGGTCATCATAGTGCCTTGTATGTGGACAGTCATGCTTTGACGGTGTTGGATGTTGCTCTGCCAAGGGCTGCTAATACGACATCATTCGGGTATGTCAAGAACCATATGAAGGTTTTGAATGACCAATAGAGGATTCGTCACTCTTAGATAATAAGAGATTGTGATCTGCATTTCATTCAATTAAATCAATAACGAAATTCTTGGCCAAGGTATACATATAAGTCGAAAAGGAGTTTTCGACTCATATTGATTTAATAGTAGAATGAAAGATATGATCGATAATCGAGATTGACACACTTCCATATCTCGTAGTTGATCGGATCATATTGACGAAGGGATTATAGTTTCATGGTAAACGAACAGTTTTGGTTTTGTCATACCACGTGACATTTTCCGTCGCATGTGTTGCCCTGATACATTGCTAGATGTCAATTTGGGATGGCGAGTGTGAATTTGTGATAAATTAAAAGGGCGTTTAATTTATCAGTTTTGATTAGATCAAAATAATATTTCACGTCGTTAGGTATCGTGGTTGGGAACCTAATGGGTCGCACATAAAAGAGAATTGAAAGATTGTAAATTGTCAATTAATTAATTTAACAATCGTTGGATAAATTAATTAATTGGATTGGTTATTTATATCCCTGAATTAATTAATTGGATTAATTAATTCACGGACCGAGTTTAATTAAATGTATTAATTAAATATTGGATCGGATAGGGCCGAGCTCGTATGAGTTTATATAAATACATGGCTATGGTTTGAGATCCATAAGGTTTTCATTATTCTTACTGGCACAAGAGGGAAAACCTTAATAGTTGCAATCTATTCTCTATGTGGATTTCATTGGAGGCTGAACAATTGGACAGCTGTGAGAGGCAGATTCAAGTTGCTGGAAAAGAATAACACAAAGGAGTTTGCAAAATCAAGAAAAATGTATATTTCTCATAACAGTTCTTATCTAAATATAAAGTTGAATCCTGAATGGGAATTGAAACTGTTAATTTTCGCTGTGCATGTTTAAATAAATTCCCTACAGTGGTATCAGAGCCAACTTTGTATTTGTTA